ACATGCCACGGAGCAACTAAGCCCATGCACCACAACTACTGAGCCTGCGCTCTAGAACCCGCGAGCCACAACTACTGAGCCTGCACACCTAGAGCCCGTGCTCTGCAACAAGAGAAGCCACTGCAATGAGAAGCCCACGCACTGCCCACGCACCCCCCAATCGCCACAACTAGAGAAAGCCCGCACGCAGCAACAAAGACCCAACACAGCCATAAATAAATTTTATAAAAAATAAAAACATGTTCAAATTTATTACTAAAAAGAAAGAGATTCAGAAGAGTTGGACTAGTAAAGAAGTTTTAGGAATACCTTAACTAATTTACTTTGCTTTTTTTTTTGCTTTATATACACACAAGTGTGACATAATTTTAAAAAACTAGGTCTAAATTAGTTTAAAAGGGCTCTTTTAATAAATATAAAATTCTAAGTAATAAAAGTATTATGTCATAGCGTGTTGCTTTTTTTTTTTTTTGGCTGCGCCAGCACGGCTTGCAGAATCTTAGCTCCCCAACCAGTGATGGAACCCATGCCCCCTGCAATGGAAGCACGGACTCCTAACCACTGGATCGCCAAGGAACTCCCTATGTCACAGTGAAAATGGCAACATTTTCTTCTTGCTGGTACATAAATAATGATGTATCACACAGTCAATACTGTCTTAGATTTAATTAAATAAGTATAACTCATTCATTCAATGAACATTTATTAAGTACTTACTGTTATCTCAGTCACTATCCTAGGTTTAGAGGATACAATGATGAACCAGAGAACTGAAGCTTACTTTATTGTTCAGGAAGTAGGGCAATGAAAAATTAAATTCATAAATGTGTTAATTTTGGATAACAATACATATTATAAAGACAATAAAACAAGCTAATATTGTTATGGAGAGCAATGGTAATAGTGAGTACTTTTACTTTAGAAAAGACCTTTGTGAGGTGGTAACATTTGGGCTGAAACCTGAGTGATAAGAAAGTGCCAAATATCTGATGATTTGGGGAAAGAGCATTCCAGGCAGAGGCAAGAGTAAAGGCAAGGATTCTGAAGTAGGAAAAAATTTGCAATGTTGGTGGCAGTGGATTGAAACACAGTGAACCAGGGGTTAGACTTAGCAGAGACTAGGTCATTTAGGGCCTTGTACCATAGATCATTGTAAAAGAGTTTGGACTTTATTCTAAATACAATTGGTTTTATTTTTAATTAAGTTTGAAATAGGCTTTGCTCCATGCTTCTCTCTGGCTGATTCCCAGAGCTAAAATGTTATGGTGATTACTTTTAGTGCAGCAGCTTAGCATGTCCACCTAATTCTTCCGTTCAGTGCAATGTTGACATTTTAAAGGGAAGCATTATAGGGCTTACCTGGCGGCGCAGTGGTTAAGAATCCACCTCCCATTGCAGAAGACATGGGTTCGAGCCCTGGTCTGGGAAGGTCCCACATGCCGCGGAGCAACTAAACCCGTGCGCCACAACTACTGAGCCTGTGTTCTAGAGCCCGCGAGCCACAACTACTGAGCCTGTGTGCCTACAGCCCATGCTCTGCGACAAGAGAAGCCACCACAATGAGAAGCCTGCATACCACAATGAAGAGTAGCCCCCCACTCGCCACAACTACAGAAAAGCCCGCGTGCAACAACGAAGACCCAATGCAGCCAAAAATAAATAAATAAATTCATTTTTTTAAAAAAGGGAAGCATTATATAAAGCTTCTGCCTTATTTTTATTTAAATTCTAATATTTTATTACATAATTGTTATTCTTACATATTATTCTCATTTAAACAATCATTTTAACTGTTTGGGGGCTTGCTAATGAATAAAAAGTTTTGGATTGTGGGGTTCTAGGGTTAAATCTTATTTACATTCTTTTGGAAGTAATATTCTTTATGAAAGTTTTTGCTCTAACTTGTGTTTTCCTGTTCTGATATCTTGAATGTGGATTCCTTTACCACCCACTATTACCATAATTTTATAAAGGAAGTTCTCATTAACTTCCCTAACTAGGAAAGACATAATGTCAGAATAAAAACGGTGCTTAAAGACTTCCCTGGCGGTCCAATGGTTAGTATTCCGTGCTTCCACTGCAGGGAGCACAGGTTCGATCCCTGGTCCAGGAACTAAGATCCTGCATGCCATATGGCATGGCCAAAAAAAAGAAAAAAACAAAACAGTCCTTAAATCTTGAATCAATTTAGCCTTACTTAAAAGAAGTCTCTACATTGATCTAATTTTTCTCATTTCACAGACAACTGACAAAAATCTCATCCATTGCTGCTCAAGAAAACCTTATAAATGCATAAAGGATGCTTACTTTTTTAAAAATTTATTTTATTTATTTTGGCTGCGTTGGGTCTTCGTTGCTGTGCACGGGCTTTCTCTAGTTGCAGCAAGCGGGGGCTACTCTTCCTTGTGGTATGCAGGCTTCTCACTGCGGTGGCTTCTCTCATGGAGCACGCGCTCTAGGAACGTGGGCTTCAGTAGTTGTGGCTCACGGGCTCTAGAGCACAGGCTCAGCAGTTGTGGTGCACGGGCTTAGTTGCTCCGCGGCATGTGGGATCTTCCCGGCCGAGGGCTCAAATCCGTTCCCCCTGCATTGGCAGGCGGATTCTTAACCACTGCGCCACCAGGGAAGCCCAGAATGCTTGCTTTTGATTCTCAAATAGACTCCAGAGAAATGTGCTTATTGATAATGGTAGAGGAAAAAAAACCCACAACTATAATCAATCTCATTGTCTATGTTTCTCGAAAGAAAAATTAGTATGATAAATAACCAAAAATATATGCAACTTTTAAATTCTGATTATTATTCCTTAATGGAGTAAATATCTTCCCCAAATCCATGATTACCCTATTGTTATAGGAAATGGTTTCCCAAGTGACTTCACAAGCTTCTGCTTTAATTAACTTCAGTTTAAAAAATAAACATAAAAATAAAACTACATTTTGGGGTATTTTTAATTTGACTTCAAAATTACTCTGAAAAAATATTATTGCCTTAAAATGTGATCTCCTAAGAATGAAACCTACCTCTACCTAAAAATGAAACCTACGAGTGGTAATTGTAGAAAGACTAAATCATTTAAACTAGTGATTTAAATCAATGATTTAAGACAAAATCATTTAAACTAGTGAATTACTCCATCTTTTACTTTAATGCATTGGAAGCTAAAATGTATGCTTCTGGATTGATACACATTTGCATTTTGTGTTAAGTGTAATTTGATACTAATGGACCAAGGAGGAATTTAAAGGCAATTGAGACATAGAATGAGGATGATAAAACAGTTACATGGTTTAAGAAGGTCTTCAGAAGCTATGTATGATGGTAGAAATTGAGACTTTATTCTTATTAATAGGACTTGTATTTATAGATTTTAGTGAGACTATTATTTTTTACATTTCCCATTGCTGTGATATTTGAGAATGTGTGCTCTTAGACCTAATTCTACTTTTAGCCCAGCTTCACATGACCTTATTTCTAGTGCAAGAGCCCAGGGCAGTTTCTCTGTAACACTAGATTAGAAATATCCAAACGAGATCTATTGCTGGGGAGGAGAAATCTTAATTTAAGATTTGGACAGAGGAAACAAAACAGCTAGGTTGACATATTTACATTCCATACTTCCCAACAGAACACTCCACTTTCTAACAACTTCTTACATTGTTGTTCAGTGCTATTCATTCAACAAGCTTTTGAGGGTTGTCTATGCCAGGCACTGTCAGGAAAGAGCGATGCAAAGATGAATGTCACAGGCCCTGTCCTAAAGAATCACTAGCTAGTATAAACTAATAATTACAATAGAGTGAGCTATGAAAGCGCTGAAAATGAAGCAAATATCTGTGCCTGGGAAAGCGTGGGAAGGCATCAAAAAGAAGAGGCAGCTTGGAGGTGGTATGGGATTAGACCAATAGCAACAAAGGTGGAAAGAAAAATCTTTGAACATCAGAAAATACTACCTCCTCTTATAATTCAAGATGATTTGCTCAGAAATGAGCTGTGCACCTTTCCTTCATTGCAGTTATTTCAATGTGTATGTTCAGATTTTGGTTTTGTGATTATTGAATGATGCTAGACTGAAAGTTCCTTGAGGACAGAACCATGACCGTTTATCTTTACTATAGTACACACCCCAGTGACGACGCATACAAGATGCCAGACAAATAAGTGTTGAAGGGGAAAATAAAGTGGTGGGAGAGTTCTCAGGAGCGTTGACTGGTCATTTTTTATCCAATATTGTCAAGTGAGAGCGCCACAGAATCTGTGAAAGAGCATTCCTCTCACCAGAGGGGACTGCTCTATCGTTTGGCAAGGTATAATTCATTGAACTTTTCTGGGGCCAGAATTAACCATTTTCCTCCTTCCCTCTTTCCCTGTGGGATGAGTCATCCATTTGCCCTGATTTCAACCTTTTGGTTACTGATTCACCCCTCTGATTACCTGATACACTATGTAGATCTTCTGTTAACTAAAAAGGTCAGTTGAAGGAGTTTGTTTTTTAATGATTATGCTACCTTGCTCACTCTTGTCTGTCTGTTGCAAGCAACATAGTTTGTGGGAAACAAAGTTCTCACGTATGGCATTCAAATTACCTTGCTTAAAGCCTAACTCTATATTAAATAAAAGTCCAGTCTAAGGTAGCGGACAAGAGAAAGAAGGCTTGCACTGTGAATAAAGAGGAACTGGGGTTTGAGGAACTTCCGGATTATCGCTGGGAAAAGAGAAATCCTTTATATTACATTCCTGATATGCCCTCCTAATTGTTCGTCTTCAAGGTTTACCCTGGTCTCGGGGCCTAAAACATTCAGGTTTGCAAAGATCAGAGACGCCGAAAGTCACCCGCCACCCCGCCCCGTGCGTCCCAGCGGAGTCAGCAAACACAGAGATTGCTTCCTGCAGCTCACGGAGGAGGGGAACTAAGGGAACGTAGACACCACTTCGGTTGTGGTTAAGCGCAGCGAACTGGCCGGCGTCACTCAGCCCTCGTGCGCAGGCGTACTAAGGGTACGCTCCCCCCTTCCTGTGCACGCGCTCAAAGCCCGCAACTCTCGCGAGAGAAGCGAGATTTATTCCTACGTACCGGGCCGTGCTGCTTATGGCGGCGCTGGAGAGGGGGCGCTGAGCTGTTGGGGTGAGTACGACCTCAGGGTCCAACTAGGGGTAGCAAGAAGCCACGTTAAGGGCGGATGAGAAGACCAAGACAAACGGGAGAGACTTCTGAGGCAGGGTGGGCACTCCTAGAGCTCCGGGTAGAGACGATCTCACCCTGAGTCCCTGCCCCGGGCTTTTCCACCCGGCTCCCGTTCAACTGTCTAGGCCTCACATCAGGCTGCAGAGCAGAAGCGAAGAGTCTAGGCCAGGCGGTCGCGCGTTGTGGTGATGGTGGTGACTAAAGTTGGGGGAGGGAGCGAAAATGGAGGCTCCGACCGCAGCCAAGATGGAGGCAGGGGTGCGGGGCTCGGGCGCGGAGGCTGCTGGGAGTTGTAGTCTGGCTGCTTCTTCCTCTGCGGCTTGGTGGGGGGAACGAGAACTACAAGTCCCGGCGGGCGGGGCGAGGGAGTGGTGGCGCGGTCCTTTGTGTGAGACTGGAAGAGCTGGAGGCATAGGAGAGGGGCCTATCCTGACTCTGAACCCTGTCGTATCTTGGCCATCACCTGCTTGGATCTGACTACGAGTACCAGAGCGCAGTGCGGCAATGGCGCTTCCTTTGTGTATGGACTGAGACGCCGCTCCATCTAACTGCTTAGAGACACCACCTTTCCTCGGCACATCTGGCACGGTAGTGCGGCCGAATTGTCATCCTTACTTCCATTCACCTAGAGCTGTTTATCTTGGGTCTCAACACCCAACCTTCCCGTCTAGTCCTCCCCTTCGGCTTCTTGAGGAAGAGAACCAGCCCCTAAACTTAGGCACATGGCTCTCACCCTTCTAATCCTGGTGTTAGGGCGAACTCGGTGAGAACTCAGTGGAGTTCTCCTTACTCCCCCTCTGGTTCTTATGGTGTAAGAGCCCGGCCCATATTGTGCAATGAAAGGCATGGCTTCGTCATTCTGTGTAGAATTAGTTTTTCAGAGCCCTGGTCGTAGACACTTTAGAGGTTCTTACCATCCGCTGTATCATAAGTAGGAACTCTTAGTGCTACGGTTCTTTTTGCTTTAAGGTTTTCCTTTAGAAACACCCAGTAGCTCCTCTCTTGCCTGACAAGTGAGGCAGGGAACCCTCTCTAAAAACAGCCTTCAATCCGCAAATACAAAAGCTGAACGTTGTTTGAGGTAATTTCCTTGTTTTGCACCTAAAATGAGCGCAAGAATGTGGTCCTCTTAAACAGTTGGTAGACAGGGTGGAGGAGGGAGGACGCCCAAAGGCACTGTGGTAGTTAAATCTTTAAATCCTTCCTGTGGGAGACTTAGCTTTTTATCAGGATGGTATGAAATGGCAGCTCTTGACCAGAGCTACCAATCTATAAAATGTAGGTACCAAATTATAGCCCGCTAATATAAGTTGTTCTGTATCAAAACGCTGAGTAATTTTCGAGTCTATAGAAGGAAGCATTTTAAATACTACGTTGAGGGGCAGTATAATACCTTTGTGCCCTTTTGGTACTAACCAATATTGGGTATTCTTGGTTTGGGTAAGGAGGGGGGTTATATACTTGAATAGGCATATGCCTGAGTCATAAAATCTTGATAAATTTTCAACCTTGTTTTTTTTTTTTTTCCTTTTAGCCATAGGCCCGAAATAAAAGAGATGGTAGTGGTTTGAGTGATTTTGCAGCTGCTCTGGATGTTTACCATCGAGATGAGTATTTATAGCAGCTGAGTTGAAAAGTAAAGCATTTGAGGCACAGAAGATAGGTTTTCTTTTTTTGTAAATAAGTTCTGACTTAACAAGTATGACCTTTATAGTATGGTTGAAAATTCTGGTAAATTCCTGCAAATAAAAAATGAGAATGTGGAAGCTGACATGTAGTTCTGCTTTATCCTACTCCTGTTTTCCCTTCCCTCCATCTAAAGACACACAATGCGGGGCCATTACAACATTTTTAAAAATTTTTTCTTTTAAATTGTGGTAAAATATACATAACGGAATTTACCGTTTTAACCTTTTTTTTTTAAGTGTACAGTTCAGTAGCATTAAGTTCATTCACATTGTTGTGAGACCCATACTTTTGACAAAGTATTTTAAACATGGAAATGCTGTGTGCGCAGATTTTTAAGGAGTTGAATTTGAGGACTGCATTACAAAATAAAATCTTGAGATCTTGTTAAATAAATAGGAAGCGTTGGTTTGCCTTCTTAGTTTAGTCTTTTCAAAAATCAAAGGGGGACTACTTTGAGAATTTTGACCCAGACTGTCTTATGGAGAGCTGTAACTTGTAGGACTTTTCATGATAAAGAATTACAGCTAGAAGAATTACAACTGTATTTCTTAAGATTTAATAGCTGGAATGTCTTCAGTGGTGAAATTGCTGTGGTGGGGGTGACTTGTTTTCTTGAATCCCATCATTTCTTGCTGTTAAATGCTTTCTGCCAAATCAAGATTTTTAAAAATTCCTTTGTCTTGGTATTAGAATGTTTTCTGCTTGCATGTGTGAGTACCTAGTTAAAAAAAATAATTCAAAACTTTTTTCCAGTTCAAATATACTGTCAAGCCAGAGGAATTCTTAGAGATGTTTCTGTTGTGCTACATTTTTTATTAGGGGTATTAAACTGAATATTGTGTATTGGAAGATTATTTTTTGAGCATTATTTGTCCTTTTATGCTGAGGTATAATATTAATGTGTAGTTGAAAATAATTGATCGGGAGTTTATTCGCGTTGAACCTGTAGGCTATCCATTGGTTTGCAGCTGCAGCCAATATATAACCAGTTAGTTGTTTGCATTTCTGCTAAACATTGGATTTCCAGGGATGTTAAAAACATGTCAGTTACCTGTGGGAACTGATGACATTTGGATTTGGTTAAGTAAGATACTTAATTAAAATTAGTTTCACCTTTCTTTCAAGTTAATATGATTACTAGAAAATTTTAAATTACATATGTGGCTTGCACAGTATTTCTGTTGGATGGTGCTGGTCTACACTATTCTTTGATTTTTGTGTCTGGAGCATTTCTTCAGCTTCTTTCCACACTGGCATTTGTCCTATTTCAAAGTATTAGTATATGTAAAAGAAGTTAAGTGATGGGTGGGTGTATAATTTTAAATATCTAGTAACAGCACAATTGTTATTACTAAAGGAAACATAGAAAAAGATGATTGCAGCAATTTGATTTTCTTTTATTTCCGCTTAATGTGTTGATGACTTAAATTGTTTTAAGGTGGTTAATTATCTGAACTTTTATCATTTTCCTTAGATCCCAAAGTAAAACTGAATTAAAACCTGTTAGGCACTTCGGTTATGCAGGTTAGAGAAAAATGTGATATACTTAAACTTGTCTTGGGTTAATTCATCAAGAAATACCAACTGGGGAGTTAAGGCAAGAATGAGTGTTAGTCATATAAATCAACAGTAGAGAACCTTTTCAGTTCCGTGCTGCCTATTTGGGTCTTTGCTCTTATTCTCAAAGAAAGTACTCTGAAGAAGTAGGTTAGGTGGAGGGACTTTTATAGACTGGTTTAGCATTTCTTTAACATTCTTCCCAAGTGAATGCTGTACAGAATTTGAGTATAATTTGTCAAAATGATAAACTGGGTTATGTGGTAACATTTTAGATGGATTAATGTCATATAAATGTATTAGTTCAACGTGTATTAGTTTAGTGCCTGCTCTGTGCCCGGCTTCAGCTAAGCCTTTGCGGTAAAGCAGCGAAGTGGAGGAGACAGTAAATAACAAAACAGGTGATGATAGTTTTAAGGCAGGTAAAATAGGGCATGACTGTTTGGATTATCAGATCAAGTAAAGGAAAATTAACTTCTAAAACAACATGACATAATTGATAATTAACTAATGGTGGTAGTGTTCCCATACAGAGCAAAGGGAAAAGGAGTTGATTACTTAGTAATCAGGGAGACTCTCAGATCCACATTTAAATTGTTCCTTAGTTTTTTTTATTAGTACTCTGTATTTCATGTGACTTAAGAAGCGTCTAGCTTTGGAGGCGGCGGGGGGAGGTTGTAGTGGGTACACTTTGGTTCAGAGGATTAAAGCGAAAGAATTGGTCAGTACCACCCATGAATGTTAATAATCTTAGCATGAGTGGATAGCAAATTTATTAAAATGCCCAATGGGTATCTTTTAAAAGAAGAGGTTATTTCTTGATTGGATAATTAAGACTTTATACAGTTCACCAAACAAAATTTTTTAAAGTTGGTGGAACTGTCTACCAACTTGAATTGTGTCTTTTGCTGTTATAGATTAACTCTTTTTGCTGTATTAGTTTCTGCTGTGGTAAGTTTAGCAGTACCTGGTTAAGTGCTATCAGGGGTTGTGATAAAGAAATAAACTTGAATTTGTCTCTCAGCAATCTGAAATATAATTGAAGGAACAAGGTACATAAACATGTAAGTAAAGTGCAGAAATGATTTGGTACCAAAAAGCATGATGCCAGCAGTGGGAGTTACTGTAATAAATCTGCTGGAATGGTCGAGAAAGGCTTTTTTTGTCACATTGAAGATGATAAAATGTATTCTTTGTGGAAAGACCTGTATACACAAAGACTAGAATTCAGGAATCTCCCAAGAGTTGCGTTTAAGAATTAGGGAGGAAAATGCACCTATCTAGAAGAACTGGAGAGCAGAAGAAGGTAAAGATGTAAAGGTAGAAGAGACACACCTTGAATGGTGGTGGTTAAATGCTGGCTGCAGTCAGAAACATCTTGGGGGCAGGGTGGGAAAGAAAATACACCAATGCCTAGGACCTAACCCCAGTTAAATTAGAATCTCAAGGTGGGATCCAGGCTTTGATTTCCCCTCCCCCCAAGTCCCAGGTGGGTTGGATTTGCAGCCAGGCTTAAGAACTTTCCATTTACAGTGCTGGAAAAATCACTGAGGATTTTGGACAAGGAGATGAGATGAATGAGATGAAATTGGAATTTTAGATAAATCAGTCTGGTAGTGTTATGTGGCAGAATATGGAAAGGGTTGACACTGGAAGTTAGCAGATGTGTCAGACCCCTGGACTAAAATATGATGTCATTTAGGGCAAAAGATGAATACACAAGGTATCTTGAAATATTGATAAGACTTGCAACATTGGGTGTGTAGGTGGAGAGGGAGGAATCAAAAGATCATTACAGAAGTGGCCCTATGTCAGGCCAGTTCAGTTACTCTTTGAGTGGGGACTGGGCATGTGTATGTCTTAAAGCTTCCCAAGTGATTTGAGAATCATTGCTCTAAGAAGTATCTAGTCTGGGTAATAGAATGATGCAAATAAAATTGAAAGATTTGACAAATGTAACATTTGATATTTGAAGTTACTGTATAAAGTCATGGAATGTTAGGTATACCCAATAGCCACAGATCAGCTGTTACTGAGTTTTCATTTTGCATAGGAGAAACTGAAACTCAGGGTGATTAAATAATTTGTTTGTGACATTTTACTGGTAAGTATCAGTGTGATTAATATTGAGCTCTCCTACTCTGTTTCACCAGGTCTGACCTCTCACCTTATAGTCATTATTTCTTATCTTAAAATATACTATCCACCTCTCAGCATATCTAAAACCAAATCCACCTTTTCTTTTCCCCATATGTCATTTTAGTTAACAGCACCATTTTAGCTAACATTTGAGGCACTGCAAAATAATAATTTTTTACAGCTAATACAAAGCACAATTCTGTGATTTTATTTATACATATATTACACTTCTCTTCCCTTCTCATCTTAATTGTTTCTCTTCTATAGACATTCCTCATCTGTTTATGGCAACAGCTCTAATGAGATGTCTGTTTCCTTCACTAAGTGATCCTTCATAGGATTTCAGGATTTCATACCCTTTCATCAAGAACTAAGGCTCTCTGTTTCCTGTTATATCAAGTTGAAACACTTCATAATCTGGCTCTACTGCATCTGTCACACCATATATCTCATTTCACTTTAACCCAGCCCTCTGTTCTAGCCAGGCTAGCCTATTGATTCCTCTGAAACAAGCCACACTTGCTGTGACAGTCTCATGCAGTAAAGCTCCCTTGATGTCAGGCATAGAAAATCCTATACATGGTCTCTGCTCTCAAGGGACTTAGGATTTAGTTGTATACTCTGGCTTGATTTATGTGATATTTTATGCCTAGAATACTCAGCTGTTTTCTTTTTCTTAAAAATCTGCCCATTTCTCCAAATTAAGCTGAAATATTCTACCTCTTAACTAAAAGCCTTCTCTGACCATGTTGCTTTGATGCACAGATGGTGATGCATAAACAATAAATAGTATTTCTAGAATAGTATGTGATGTAGTAGATACCCAGATATTAGTTGAGCAAATTAATTTTGGACATTTTGTCCTATATTCTAGTTTTCCCTCCATGTATAAATAACTCTTCTCAACAAGGGTGTAAAGTCCCTGATGGCAGGAAATTCTTTTATGTTTTCCACAGTACCTAACACAGTGCTAGGTAGTTACAAAACACATACTAAATAGAATATTATGTTATGTAACTTCGAATTTATTTGTGGGGGGGTGTCAATAAGGACTGAATAATTTCGGGTTTTGAGTGTACAGTACCAAAGGAGGTATCCATTAGCACTTGGGAGATTGCTTAAATGACATTGAGTGTGTGTGCTTCCAAGTTTTCTGCCTTGCTTGATTCTAAGTTAATGAAATGAGTTTGTCCCTCTAGCTACCCTCTGTCCCTGATTCTTTTATGTAAGTTATACTTAATGTCTTCATTCTTATCTCTAGTATGAAGTGTAACAGAACAGACTTTACCACCTGAAACTGCTGCTTCAAGTTCAGATCAGGCAAGGAACAAACCTCGAAACAACCAACAAGACCAAAGAAGAGTACACTTAAGTTGAAGACACAACACTTGATCTGAAACAAGAAGTTTGTGCCTACTCAACAGCTTTGAAAGAGCACTTCCCAACGCTGCTAGTAGTCTTTGTTTTCTTCAGTGCTGTACTGTGAGATTGCCTGGTGCAGCAGCAGTTGTATTCTTTATTAGCTTGATAGGTCATTTTCTCTCGCACGCGCGCTCTCTCTCTCTTTTCTTTTCTTTTTTTTTTTTTAACACTAGCAACTTTCATCCTTTGAAACGTGTGCTGAAAAAGAAGAATCAGCAAATACTACTGAAAGTGCAATATTTGATTATCACTGCGAGGTAGGTTTATCGTTTCCTATTGGCAAGAATCAGTTTATAATTCTAGATTTCCTAATTATTTGGTTAAATTTAAAATCTTAATCTGTTTGCTTCTAAAGGTATTCTGAAAACAGTTTATATTATCAACTATTAGTCTGAAAATATCAACACTAGATTATTTTAACTTGTTGTCTTTTGTTAGATGACAATATTTATGCCCAAATCTGGGATTTTCCACCCCAGATTATATTTATTAATACATGCAGGTCTCTTGATTTATTGGTCTCTTAGAAAGAAAAACTCCCTCTGTACTATTAAGAAGTTAGGGTTTCAGTTAGGAGTGCCCTTTGTAGTCTTTGAGGTAACCTTGGGTAAAGAAAGCCTACAGAGAAGGGACATTTGAAGGTGAGTTGTACTTTGTTAAGAGGGAGAAGAGTTTTTGGTAGAGGTATAGAGGTAACGGAATGAGCAGATTTGGGGAGATCTGAAAGCACGTGGTATATGTTGAGTAGTCTGTTATGAAGGGAGTAGAGAATACAGTTTTGTGGGTCAGAGAGAATAACTGGAAAGGGAGGCTTGCTGGAGGCAGGTTCTACAGGGCCCACTCTACTTGCCTTTATTTTTCAGGAAAGTTGTCAGCTGTTTATAAGCAAGGGCTTAATGGATTTTGTATTTCAAACCTGAGATAGTTTATTGCTTCAGGTTTTAAAGTTACATATTCATAAATGTATCTTTGAAAGACAAATGGTGCTACTTTTAAGGAATAGGCTGAGGATGGGAAGACCTGTTAGGAGCAATGGACAGAGTGGAAGGAAGATAAAAGCTAGGGTAAAGGGAGAGAAAGAGGTAGACACTAGGTGTTTTAATGGTAGAAGTAATAGGACTGGTGACTAGTTGAATGGGAAGTTGAGGCTGGAGGGAATTGATTTAGTCTATCCAGTTGTCCAAGTTAGAAATCTTTGTTCATAGGAATGGGGAAGTTCAGGTAGGAATTTGTGGAAATCTATTTTATTAGTAATCTGAAGTTGAGAAAATATTCTAGTATGGAATGTTAAACAGTGGTTGTTTGGGGGAGGTAAGATTGTGAAGGGCAATTGTTCCTTTTTAATCTTTAGTTTCTAGAGTTTCTAAAATCAGCAGAAATAAAGACTTGGAATTCAGAAAGGAGTCTTCACTTTATAGGTAATAAAGGAAGAAGTGCCAAAGAAGAGAATGTTGAAAGAAATAGGTAGTCCAGGTAGGAATGCCAAGGAAGAGAATTTCAAGAACTGGGTGGTAATCCTTTTGTAAAACGCTTCATTGATCAAATGAGGAGAATGAAAACAGACCACTCCTAGGTTGTTGTCTTATAAAAGCTTCATCACCATTTCAAGAAGTAGTGGGCCTTTATCTCCAGTTTATTTAAAGGTTAAGGACCTGGCTGTGGTAATGACCTTACTGTGGACCAGAATTATTCCTTAATTTAAAACTACCATTAACACCAATTTGTTTAAATTATCCATAAACAGACATATAATTACTCAGTATTAAGGGTTTTTTTGGTTTTGTTTTTTAAGCATTGACTAATTTAATCCTCACATCCACAGTGGCATTGGTACTTTTGTTTTTAATTAATTAATTTATTTTTGCTGTGTTGGGTCTTCGTTTCTGTGCGAGGGCTTTCTCTAGTTGTGGCAAGCGGGGGCCACTCTTCATCACAGTGTGCGGGCCTCTCACTGTCGCGACCTCTATTGTTGCGGAGCACAGGCTCCAGACGCGCAGGCTCAGTAGTTGTGGCTCACGGGCCTAGTTGCTCCGCGGCATGTGGGATCCTCCCAGACCAGGGCTCGAACCCATGTCCCCTGCATTAGCAGGCAGATTCTCAACCACTGTGTCACCAGGGAAGCCCAAGGTTATTGTATTATTTGCTTTTTTTGTTTGTTTCTTCCTACCTCCTCATCTGATTTTTTAAAAAATAATTTTAGACTGGTACCACTTGTGCTGGGTTAGATAAAATAATGGGCATTGAAATTGTACAGCTCTATCGTTACTATTCAGAAGGGTAAAAGATTAGATGCTACAGCTTTCATTGCATTGACATTAATTGTAAAGATGGATTTAAAGTAGACGTGCTTTTTGTTTAGCCTGATCTTTGTATTCTGAGTGTTAGTTTACTACAGGAACATCCCGCCCCGGGGTGCCGGGGTGGTGGAGGTGGGGGGAAGCAAAGCTGTAAGGAAACAAGACAGGGTGACTAGGGGAGGGCTATTGACAACCTGTCCTAGAGGATCCCAGTTTAGTCATTGAACTTCTCAGCAAGCCTAAGCTCAAAAGCCGCTCCCTGCTCCTTCTGGCATCAGCTGAGCCATTGGCATTATTGGCACTGCCCACAGTGGCATCGCAGACCATTGTGAGAGAAAGCCATCATCTGCTACGTGAACATTTTTAATGCGTAAATGCATGCATAGCTGTCAAAAGTTGAGTTATATAAGGGCTTCCCTGGTGACGCAGTGGTTGAGAGTCCGCCTGCCGATGCAGGGGACACGGGTTCGTGCCCCAGTCCAGGAAGATCCCACATGCCGCGGAGCGGCTGGGCCCGTGAGCCGTGGCCGCTGAGCCTGCACGTCCGGAGCCTGTGCTCTGCAACGGAAGAGGCCACAAGAGTGAGAAGCCCGCGTACTGCAAAGAAAAAAAAAAAAAAGTTATATAGATTAATTCACATATTTACAAACAGATAAATAACAATTGGGGGGTTATTGACAGTAAAACGTGTTCTGATTGTACAGTTGTGAATTATTCCATTTAAAATGAGTGCAGCTAAGGAAACAGATTTGGTAATGCAGTAGAACCGCAGATTTTGTTTTTATTTATTTTTTTACTTTAATTTTTATTGGAGCATAGTTGCTTTACAATGTTATGTTTCTTGCTGTACAGCAAAGTGAATCAGTCACACATATACATATATCCACCCTTTTTTAGATTTCCTTTCCATTTATGTCACCACAGAGCATTGAGTAGAGTTCCCTGTGCCATACAGTAGGTAGGTACTCGTTAGTTATCTATTTTATACATAGTAGTGTATATATGTCAGTCCCAGTCTTCCAATTCATCCCACCCTGCCCCTTCCCTCCTTGGTAACTATAAGTTTGTTCTCTACATCTGAGAACCACAGGTTTTAAAAGAGCCTTTGTAAAAAACAGTAAAAGTAGTACATAATTAGGAATGAATAAAAATATTGAGGAGTGGGATTGGCCTTAAAAAATATCAATGAATAAGGCTTATAAGAAGTTTGTCATGTAAAGATAGACATGGATTGTTTTGATGAGTATTTTGATCAAAGACAGTTTAAGGTGACAAGAAGGAAAGCAAAGCTAGGAACATTAAAAGAAAACTAAAGCCTCAGGTGAATGAGAAGATAACAGGGTAACTTGGCTAGGGGTGTGGAGACCTATGATCAGGAACTGTAAATGTCTTGGTTGATTTTCAAAGTCAGGTGTGCGAACTTTGGAGCGTGCTCTCCATCCCTAGCAAAAATCCAGGAGCAAACAAATAAAAAATAAGATCTTTCAATAAGGAGATTTGACAGAGTATCTCTTGATAACATAGTGGTCAGTATGGAATATAGATTGGATTATAAGCATTAAAAGGCTTTGACTAATGGACTGATTTTCAGAGAGGTCTCCATATGTGTGCTGCCAGATTCTATTCTTGCTCTACTTTTAAAAAAGATTTAGTGGTAAGTAGTTATGTGTGTGCTCTGTACTAAGCACCATTCCAGGCTTTTTGTATGAAGTAACCCTAACCGTCCCCACAACCCTGTGAGGTGGGTATTAAGGAAGGACATAGAATGCTTAAAAGACAGATTACAAAGGCTAATGATTTAAAATTATCCCTCTAAATTGGAATTCCAGGTTAACTAAGAAATTTAAAAGCATTAGATTAGTTTTTTCTTTAGTAACAAATGATCAGTTATACAAGTACTAAAAGGAGAAAATATGATTTTACTAATTTATTAAGGAGTAATAGAGTTTTTTTTGTTGTTGTTTTTAAAGTTACTCAAACTTTACAGAATCAAGAAACATAATCACTCAGTGCTTTCTATATATTGGTCAGGGTACAGTAAGAATAGTAGTGAAATGTACTTCAGTGAATAATAACTTGAAACATATCCAGAAGACAGCAATTAGTCTGAAAAACAGTTGCATTCCGAAAACTGAAAGGAGCAAAGGAAGTTAAGGGGAAGTATGTTTAGATTAAGAAAACAGTCATTTTCTGAAACTGTCATACAGTGAAATAGGTTGCCTTTTCTAAACTAATTCCTTTTCAGTGGGAGCCAAGCAGACTAGGTTAGGAAAAAAGGGGCGGGGGGGAACAGCTCAGAGATGTTGCAAGAAGAAATTACAGAGCACAGAATTTTGATTTTTTTCCCCACCTCCCAAGGGAATTTGGAAATCACTTAGGCCATCATTTTACATCTGCAGAAACAATCCCAGAGAAGTTTTAAAAAGTATGAGAAGCAAGACTAAAAGCCAGTCTTTTGATTCTAGTTCTGTGTCCTTTAGGGAACTTTAGTTGATTTCTTGAATTAGAAGTGAAGTTTAAATTTGACCTGTGATTCTTTTCCATTTCTCCTTTTAAAAAAAAAAATCATTGTTAATGATTTTTTAAAAATTTTTTGGGCCATGTTTGGGTCTTCATTGCTGCGTGTGAGCTTTCTCTAGTTACAGCGAGCGGCAAGCAGGGGCTCCTCTTTGTTGCAGTGCGCGGGCTTCTCGATGTGATGGCTTCTCATTGCGGAGCATGGGCTCTAGGCCCGAGGGCTCGGTAGTTGCGGCTCGCGGGCTTAGTTGCTCCGTGGCATGTGGGAATCTTCTCGGACTAGAGATCGAACCCGTGACCCTTGCATTGGCAGGCAGATTCTTAACCACTGCGCCACCAGGGAAGTCCCATTAATGACTTTCTGATTTAAAAACAAATACATAGAAAAGAGTAGAAAGTCTAAACTTGGTGTTGGGGGTATTCGTCTGCTGTGTTCACTACTATACATGTAGAACCTAGAACAGTGCTGATGCATTGTAGGCATTCGAGTTCTGGTTTAGCGTATAAAGCAGTGGTTAAGATTGTGAGCCATGGAGTGAGTACTGAGTTCTGTTCCCATTTATCAATTTTAGCTCTGTGCACTTAGAACACCATCTAAGTGTTACATTGTCTGGGAGTATTGAAGTAGACTTTCCTGGTCTTTGCTTTTTAAAATACAGTTGAAATTATATTATAGAAATATTTTTGTCATTATATAAATGACTATGAAACTTAAGATTGTTTCCGGGAATTTGTTATTAAAACATTTTAATGAACACATTTGTGCATAAAGCCTTGTCCACATTTCACATTTCCCCATGATAAGTTTCCTGCAGTGGAATTATTAAGGAAAGCACCTCCACATTTTGGTACATGTGGTTAAACTGTGTTTCAGAAAGATTGCACCAGTTTGCCACCATGAAAATATATTAGCATGTTGTTCTTAACCTACTTTCTCAATTTTTTAAATCTATCTTCGATAATCTGATAAATGAATAATTTGTTTTATCTAAATTTTTGCTTGCTAGAATTGAAGTTCATATGTTTTGTGTTTAATGAATGATCTTTTAAGACTTATTTGTCTTAATGTCTTTCCATAATTCAGCAAATGAGTGCTTACTATGTGCCAAGCACTGTCTAACACTAGGGATTTATCTTTGAACAAAAAGCCCCTGCTCTCATAGAGCTTATATTCTGGTAGTTTAATTCTTACTGATTTGCTTAAATTCTTTAATGATACACTCATATATTTACATTTGCGTTTGTTCTCTTTAGGTTTGAGTATAAAAGCTTTTACTTTTTATGTAATCAAATATTGATCCTTTCCCTTGGCGTCTTTTTCTATTGACTTTAAACCTAGAAAGTCCCCCCTTCCAAAAACTTTATAAACGCGTACATTTTTATTTAATATTTGTTAAGGCATTTAACACAGTTCATCTAGAATATATTTTTTGTATACTGTGAGATGAGCAACTAAATTGATTTTCCCCCTGTTTAAAAAAAAGCCAAGTAACATTTACATACTCATCCACCACCACCCCCCTTTTTTGATGTTGTCTTTAGTTAATTTTTTATAAACAAGCATCTGTTGTTGAGCTGTCTACTTTTTCCATTGGATTTCTCTTTTTACGTAATTGTTTGGTGGTTTTGTTTGTTTTGTTTTTTAAGGAACATCACTTTTGTTTAATGGTGCTTCTTTAAAGTTTTGATGGTGCTGGTTTTAAAAAAATTTAGCTGAACTATTAGGAATTCTTTTAGGAAGAATTTTTAAATTCTTAAAAAAATTTAGCTGAACTATTTAGCTGAACTATTAGGAATTCTTTTAGGAATTCTTATCTAAAGTTGCTTGAGTGATATATGGGTTTCCCTTTTTAAAAAGTAGCCCTCAAATTAGATAAAGGCTAGAGAAAAATACTTAAGTCAGGAAAGGTGCTAGGAGAAAGGAGAGGTTCTGGTTCAATTCTGTTTTGATGTGCACATCTAAAGGTGAGATGAGATGAGCAATATAGCCTAAATTCCAGTACGCTTGTGGGAATAGTTTAGTCTTAGAAAGAATTGATAGCTCTAATCCCTTCTCATTCTGGTTCATTTTCCCTTAGGGTGAGAAAAACGTGAGTCTTACCTCTTACCTTCAGCTAGGACTACTAGGACTGCGAGACTTGAGAATGTGGTTTTTGCAGCTTCCTGGCCTATGTATTACAGATCGTATCATTGTGTTCTTACTTGTATGGCGGTAAGAACTAGTCTAAACATGAAAAAAGCACAGCTTGAAAGTCATGGTCTAAGTCAGTGATGGTGGAATAGTGGTCTTCAAATTAATTTGATCATACTGTTTAACAAGAAGAGCATGTATGTCAGTATGTACGTGTATATATTTATAAATCGTGTGATTATACTGCTCCATTTGCATTGTGAAGCAGTGGTACAAATAGGACAAAGGTGAAATAAGCAATATTGTGAAAATAGTGTACCTGTTAACAGTGTAGAAACTTTTCAACCCCACTAGAAATATATATATCTGGACGCTTAGTTTATAAGTGTTTAATTTAAAAACTTTATACTATCATGAATTAATATCTGAGGGACAGTATGCATTTTATGTTTTATTGATACTGGTATAAGTTTGTATCATAGTCCTGATCTTAATGTTTTGTCAGACTTGTCAGATCTCATTAGATGGTCATTTATTTCATAATGTGGAGGTATAAGAACTAATACTAGGATTAGAAGTGCTGGCTCCCAATTCTCTGCCTTTGCTTGCTTTATTAGCATTATCTTCTAAGATTCTTCTGTGGGAATCTTTTTCAACAGTTTGTCTATTTGTGAGGACAGTTTAGTTAAACTAGATAGCTAAATATGTACACTTAATTGGAGAGATGTAAACTTTAATATGCTGAAAGTAAAGGAACGAGGGCTTCATTGTCAATCTCTTGTGAGGTTCTCCACTCTTTCCTCAGAGTACTTAAGTAATGTATGACATGTGATACGACCTGACATATCAACTCAGCAAGGCCTCTTCTATAAATACATAATAACCATTTGTAAAAGCTAGTTTTTATCTCTGGCCAAATATATATATTCTAATTCAGATATTTTCTTCCTACACCCCATTAGATTATCCTGTGTGTACCCTACTTGAGGGAGACAAGTGATTGAGAATATTGGATTCTGTGTAAAGTTGTGGGATATTGAGAAGAAGTTGGTCTCAGTTGTCTTGCTGTAGCAACCACCAGAGTCCTTATGGCATTTTTAAAATTGTAAATGTTATGGATTAGGGGTTAAGTAAGTGCTTTAAAAAATACATTTCAGTTTGACCGTTTAGTGTTAATGCTATAATTTATTTTGTTGATAGAAATCTGATTAAATGAATTATATTTTGCTGAAGTAACTTAGTGATAAATGTAAAGATATACAGGTTGACTGTCAAATGTGTGTTAAATTGTTATTGATCATAGTTGTAAACATTGTGCTATGTTATCACAGCTGTTTGAGATGGAGAACGTTTTTACTGTGTCATCAGATCCTCATCCCCCTCCTACAGCCCCTCCTTCACTTTCTTTACCTTTATCTTCATCTTCTACCTCATCTGGGACTAAAAAACAAAAGAGGACCCCCACGTATCAGAGATCTGTAAGTCAGGGAAGCAGTCATCCCAGCTTTTTTCTTTGTGTTAAGAGCATGACTCAGAAGGGCCACTCAGTTTGATTGAAATACCCTGCAAACTCACTTTCTAACTTCCCTAAGTATTTCCTTCACCTTGAATCTTGAAAGGTAAGTTTAGTAGTTTAGGCCTTGCTACTCAAAGTGTGTCCAAGAATCAGAAGTATTGGTATCACCTTGGGAGCTTGTTAGAAGTGGAGAATCTCAAACCCCTGCCGCTGAATCAGATTTTGTATTTTAACCAGATCACTGGGTAACTTCAGTTTGAGAAGCCCTAGTTTCGAGTCAGTATTGTAGAGGTAGACCTTCTTGGTTCAACTCCTCTGTCATTTGACTTTGGCAAGTCATTTAATCTCAATGTCTGTTTCGTAATTGGTAAAATTGGGACAATATTCCTCATGGGCTTTTGTAAAAATTAAATGAGTTAGTACACATCCGACACAAAAGAGTGTCTAGCATGAATGAATTAGAACTTAACCACCTACAGATGTGATGGCTTTGATTTGCATGATTTGGCTATCCCACCCAGTGTTTACTTAAAACTTGGGTTTATCTTTTTAGAATTTCAGTCATCTTTTTTTCCTGATGAAAAATTTTTTTACTTGCCCAACGTCAAACTTAAATGAAAATGTTTATAGGTCAAATTTTCAATGAAAGGGTCTAAAACTAGGTATAAAGATGTGGATATGTTGCTATAGTAAATCAATTATAGACCTAACCTTTCCTAGGGATTTTGTCCTATTTCATGCTTCACTTAAATAAAATGAAATATCCAATGTGATAGACAGTATCTGATGATTAAATAGGTCCCAGTGCATTGCATTTAAATAAATAGCCCTTCTGTTTACTAAAGAATGTTTTATTTTGCTTTATCTGACCATAGAAACAAATGACAGTATTTAGAGATTTCACTGTCTGAAAACAGGTGAAAAGATTTCTTTAATTGTACCTGTGAAGTGATTGAAGATTTTTAGGATTGAAGAGCTTTTGTTGTCTTGGAGTTCTTAGAAAACTCTTGCTTTCTAACTCATTATTTTGAGTCGTCTTCCATTAAAGGACCTGAGCATGCATGTATTTTCTAGTTTGAAATAAGTATTGCATGGAAAGTTTCTTTTATTGTTTAATCTCTACTAACTTAAATAATTGCCTTCAAGATGCACGGCTTACCAAATAGCATCAAGGTTTCTATTTACGTTTCAAAATAAGTATTAATAAATTTAATGAAATGTCCTGGTAGTTTCGGTTTCCATCTCTTGAATAGTAGTTACCTTTGTTCTGATACTGTTGTTTTAGTAATTTAAAGTTAATGTAAAGGCAGCTTTTCCTTATATAGTTACTTTATCTTAATATTTAAACTCCAGAAATTCTATTTGTTTGGTAAGTGAAAATTCTACCATGAATTGGGGCAGTTCCCCCAAAATAATTTGAATTACTTCCTCTGAAATGTTTTATTAGCTAAATTAACATTTCAGTAATAAAAACACATAATCTTCCCTTTATTTGTTGTTTTACCTTTATTTGCCTTTTTACGTTAAAAATTCAGTGATTTTTTTTTTTTAACATCTTTATTGGGGTATAATTGCTTTACAATGGTGTGTTAGTTTCTGCTTTGTAACAAAGTGAATCAGTTATACGAAAATTCAGTGATTTGTTAATCAGACTTATAGTAAGCTATGGAGGTAATATACAGATCTATATGTATTGAGTTCTTTCTCTTTTTAAAACAGATGAGCTTTGATCCAAATCTTCTCCACAACAATGGGCATAATGGGTACCCCAATGGTACTTCAGCAGCACTGCGTGAAACTGGGGTTATTGAAAAACTGCTAACCTCTTATGGATTTATTCAGTGTTCAGAACGTCAAGCTAGACTTTTCTTCCACTGTTCACAGTATAATGGCAACCTGCAGGACTTAAAAGTAGGAGGTAATCTGTTGGTTCTCCTTTTTATAAAACTAATCACAAATTTATCTTGCATATCAACTTACTCATGACAGTGTTATGCTTTTGGCCTTTTAATTGTACCAATTACTGAAGTTTGTTTATATAAATTAGCAGAATCCTGATTTTTGTTGTGGTGATAGTCTTTTTGAGGGATGAAAGAGTAATTGATTAAAGATATCTTTGAATATTTTTTAAATAGACACTTGGTATATTTAATTGTTATTCCCCCAATAATGACTGTTTGGCTATATATTAGATTTTATGCCAGTGAAAATATTAAACTTTATAATGTTAGTTTTAATTATTTTGCCAGGTACTAGTTTGAGTAGTACCTGAAAGAAATAACTCTTACCATGTCACCACTTGGACTATGTGGAAATTCATTTTGGCTGACAACATAGAAATTACTTTCACATGTGAAAATGTGTGGTTTATTAAAGGACTGAAGTTACAAGGTCTCAGTGTGTGTTTTTTTAAAATATCTTTGAGAAAAAAGAACAATAGTTACATGAATATTTGGCATACCAAATACTCTAAACTGTACAAGAGTGTTATTTTGGTTAATCCTCATTTTACAGATGAAGAAACTCAGGGTATAGAGGGATTTTGGGGGTGAGGGGGGAAGCTTGCCAAATCTCATCATTACATTGCATCAGCTGTAGTATGTGTAGGTGCCATGAAAACTAAGATATGGCTAGCTTAGTCTAAAGCAGTGGTTCTGAAACATTAGTGTGTATCAGAATTACCTACAAGGCTTGTTAAAATGCAGATTACTGTACGTGATGCCCAGAATTTGTTTTGGAGTGGGTCTGGAGTAGGGCCTGGGAATTTGCATTTCTGCTACACTCCAGGTGATGCTGCTGCTGATGCAGGGACCACACTTTAAGAATCACCAGTCTAAGGAAACTCAAATGCCTCATTAAGTTTAGCTTGAAAGTGAGATACCATTTGGCCAAAATTAGTCCACCAAACACAACACTCTCTTTGTTTTAGATGATGTTGAATTTGAAGTATCATCTGACCGGCGGACTGGGAAGCCCATTGCTGTTAAACTGGTGAAGATAAAACAGGAAATCCTCCCTGAAGAACGAATTAATGGACAAGTTAGTGACTTAGATGCTTTATGTTTTCTTAGGGCCCTGCATTTGCATATCTTTCACATTAGAAAAGGAAGATTCTCCCCATCTCCTCAGTTTGCACGCAAGAGAGCTATAGTATATAAAAGTTACTATTTTAAAATTATATCAGAAGCACTGGCATTTCTTGACCTGAAATAAAAATTTGGTCAAGACTCAATTTGGGTTTTTACATATAACCCTAAGTCTATACTTACAGTCAGCTTATGTACTGTAAGTTTGAAACTTGGCAGCATGACATCCTCTTGTGGATCATATCAAAATGTATCCCTTTGTATAGTATAGAGGATATTAAAATTCAGTTTATATTGCACAGTGCTGCTCCTGAAATGATTAGCAATGGAAATTTTTTTTTTTTTGACTGGTAGGTTGTGTGCGCTGTTCCTCACAACTTAGAGAGTAAATCTCCAGCTGCCCCGGGTCAGAGTCCAACAGGGAGTGTATGCTACGAACGTAATGGGGTAAACTTGTGTATTTTTCTTAAACCTTTGCCTGATCCACCATGTGATCTATAAGCGTACTTTAAAATTCAAAATAGAAAACGTAAGCTGCAGTTGATAAAAATCAGTTTAAAATTTGGTTTTGAAGAGGCTTTGAGTGCAGCATTATCAAAAAATCTAAAAAGAAAAAAATCCATAGGACTTCCAAGTGTCTTAGCTTGCCCAAGTGTGACCTTAGTTAGAACATTAAGGTAAAATGCTTCTTTTACTCGCTTTTTTTGGGGGTTGTGGGAGGGGATCTTTTTTCTGGTTCCTTTTAAGCACTAACTCAGCTTTTTTGTTTGGAATGCCTTATATAAAAATTGTTTTTTTTGAAATGTAACTACAGCCTCTGGGCAAATGCTTCCACGTGTGTAAGCTTTTTGAAGTTGGATTGCTGCTCAGCTGTGGACTCGCAGAAGTCATCAGCACCTTGGAGGGGAAGTGTGTTTATGTGAATAAACTATGTGCTTGTCAAAAGGCATTTAATTTTAAGAAATTTGGCTTTAAATGCCAGTTTAAGAAGTATTTAACAAAGTAAATCACAGTATACACTGAACATGCATCCTGCCAGTATAGTAATAATACCTTATTAATTCACAGGAAGTGTTTTATCTGACTTACACCCCTGAAGATGTTGAAGGGAATGTTCAGCTGGAAACTGGAGATAAAATAAACTTTGTAATTGATAACAATAAACAGTAAGTTCTTTTTTCCCACCTAAGTGGTTTGTTTTTTTGTTTTTGTTTTTGTTTTCCTTTTACAATAAGAAATTTGAAGCAAGTCAAAAACCTAACTTGTAAATCTGGATAATTTTCATGATCTTTTAAATTTTTATTCATCAGCTAAGCATTTGAGCGTCAATTCTATGACAGGCACTGTGCAGGGTGTCAGAGATAGGAGGATAATTAAAACATGGTCAGAACTTTCAAGGAACTATTCTAGAGATCAGTGAAGGTTTTGCCATAGCAGCAGTGCTTGAGGTGCGCTTTAAGACGAGGAAGTCACTAGGGAGATGAGAAAAACATTCTGGATAGAGGAAGTACCATGGGGGAAGAGGCCAAAAGTTGGAGTTGATTTAATTGACTGGATCATGGAAAGATGAAGTTTGAACTTTATTCATTCGTCACAGGTGTCTTTGAAGGATTTTAAATGGGGAAGTGTGATTGGTTTCTATTGTTGGAAGTGGTGGAAACGGTAGGCTTTTGGAGAGTAGGGATGCTATAGACTAGAGGCAGAGTTATGAAAATTAATATGAAAGATGAGGGTGTAGTATAGACAGGCCAGGGGTGTTTGGGTATAAAAGTCAAGTCACATTGAGAAGATAAAATCACCAAATTTTATAACTTTTTAGATAGGGATGTGTATTAGAACTAAGGGAAAGGGAGTCCCAAATGCCATTTTTTTTTGGCTTGGGCTACTGGGCAGATGATGATCATTAACTGGACTAAGGAGGTACAGCAGAAAGTATTAAGGATGGGAGAAGAATTGTGCTTATTTTGGCATTTTGAATTTGAGGTGTCTTTGGGGGACGATATTAAATATGTAGTTGCGTATATAGATCTGAACAAGCTAGTTATGGACAGGAGATAGAGCTGTTGAATTCATTGGCATAAGCAGTTAAGGAAAGTGTAGTTAAGAAAGCCCAGGGATGATTATTTTTATTTTGGAGTGGGAGAAACAGATACAAGTACAGAAGGAAGTTAAAAACAGGAGAAAGTGCTGGGAATGGACTTTGAATGGCAGTACAGAAAGAAAAGTCCCAAGAGTGTGCAGAATTATTAGCCTTGAACCTTACCTCTTGTAAGACTAGAAGGAGTTGGATTGAGTTGTAGATTGATATTAGTAGTGCTAGTCTGAGGCCTCAATTTAATGTCAAGTTAGGAAACTTGGGAATAGGGCTTGAGTTAGAGGTGGATGGGGAACCAGTGAAAGGGCTTTATTTAATCTTAATAAGTTCTTGAATGTGCTAAGAACTTGTACTAAATATTTTATGTACAGTTGTTAATCCTCAGAACAGCCTCATCTGGTAAGTTTCTTCATCTGTAAAATGAGGTATGTTCTCATAAAGTAACTTGCCTAAAGTCATACAGCTTTTAAATTGACGTTTGAATCCCAATCTGGCTCTAAATAAAGCCTTTTCATTGTAGTAAGTTGCAAGAGCAAATAGGATTTTTCCAGTGTCTTTGTTAGTCTGTTAAATTTTTGAAATAAAAAAAGCACAATTGGGTGACAATTTGTCCATGAAGAATTAAGGGAAGTAATTAGTTGGTCTGCAGATCTTATAAACACCACCAACAAATACTGTTGCATCTTACACTGTGTGTGCCATCTTTAAAACGAAATCTGATTTACATTGTTGCTGCAGCAACATGTGATGTCTGTTTTCAATGGAGGTGAACATCACTCTTTTTTTAAAAATTAAATTTATTTATTTATTTATGGCTGTGTTGGGTCTTCGTTGCAGTGGCGGGCTTCTCATTGTGGTGGCTTCTCGCTGCAGAGCACAGGCTCTAGGCTCGCGGGCTTCAGTAGTTGCAGCACATGGCTTAGTTGCTCCATGGCATGTGGGATCTTCCCGGACCAGGGCTCGAACCCCTGTCCCCTGCATTGGCAGGCGGATTCTTAACCACTGGGCCACCAGGGAAGTCCTGAACTTTTCTAAAGCATAGCAGATATCTCCTGTAATCACTGCATTTACTCATGTTTCTTTTATGACTGTTTAATCAGAAATAATTGATGGGATAGCTAGTAAATTCAGTATTCATTGCAAACAGGACTATCTCTTATTTATCTCTTTATCCCCTGTACCTTTGTTTGCAGTACGTAATACCTACTTAGTGTTTGTTCACGTAATGGCCTTTCTAAAACTTTAGCATCCCCCATCTGGTTGCAACCAATTTGTGGCCTTATTTCAGCAGTCTGAGAGAAACAATGCCATATATGTGTGCCCAATTTAAAAGGCTAGGGAGTTTGCGCAGAAGTCCTTTGCACGTGAAGCCATGTGAAAAGGATTATGTATTATAAAACCTTATATTAATGATGATACAGAATTCCTGAGGCCTCAGAAAACTAGTTTGTTTCTCTAAACTCATCATGTCTAACCAAGCCAATGCATTTTTCACCCCTCTTTGGTCCCCACCGTCCCCACCCGATTCTTTTGTTCTAGTACTGGTGCTGTAAGTGCTCGTAATATTATGCTGTTGAAAAAGAAACAAGCTCGCTGTCAGGGAGTAGTTTGTGCCATGAAGGTAAGTGTCGATCAGATTTGAGAAACTTTAGTTTTTTCTTTGACCGCTTTAAGTCTTTCAAACCCAAGCCTTTTGTTTTTCCTCTTTATATTTCCTTTAAAAATATTTAATTGTTAATGTCAGAAGTAATCTCTTAAAATTCCTTGGTTACTAATTATGTTCTTTAAAATGGGCCATTTAATTAATATTAGACTTTATCAAGTAATATTGTTTCCACTGGAGTATAATTTTGTGAAAAGGCTTATTGATTGTAAATTGTAATCATAAATATGTGCACTGAATAGTACATAATATTCCTGCTGTTTCTTCATATTTGTTTGGCTTTAGGATGCGTTTGGTTTTATTGAAAGAGGTGATATTGTAAAGGAGATATTCTTTCACTATAGTGAATTTAAGGGTGACTTAGAAACCTTGCAGCCTGGAGATGACGTGGAATTCACAATCAAGGACAGAAATGTAAGATAAGATAGTTGAATAACTTGATCTTTGGCCTTCTTTTAAGATAAGTAGTGAGTTAAAATTTTAGGAAACACTTAAAGTGACATGGTTCCCCTCGCCCTCTCCACTCCCTTCTGATTTAGGGTAAAGAAGTTGCAACAGATGTCAGACTATTGCCTCAAGGAACAGTCATTTTTGAAGATATCAGCATTGAACATTTTGAAGGAACTGTAACCAAAGTTATCCCAAAAGTATCCAGTAAAACCCAGGTAAATAGTATTTTTTCAGAAGAGTCATCTTACACCTCATCAGTAATAGAATAATACGGTATGGTATACAGAAGTTTTATTACTTTCAATTAATGTAATTTTGTGACAGTGGAGCAGTTAAGTATTTTATGTGTGTAATTAAACTATATGAGAAACCATTGGTACATCCATGAATATGTTTTTCTTTCTTTTTTTTTAAACTGGGTGATATGGAGAAGGGGGCAAAAAAAATACTGGTTAGATTGGGGAAAAAATTCATGTGTGCATGCGTGCATCCCAGTTTGGTTTTTTTTCCTGTTGTTGGTGGGTGGGGGTGGGGTGGGGTGAAGAGATGAGACCAGTGGTGTCATTGCTGAGGAAATGTAGAACATAAAAGACTGAAATTCTTTTCCTTAAATAAAATCTCTCAGTATCAGAGTGCAGGATCTTAACTGCAGTATCATGATTTTATGGTTGTGTCATGTGACCATAGAACACCTTTCAAATTGGACTTATGTTATCAACACCTTTTTTTTCTTTAGGGAGCTATCTGTTATAAAATGGGTTTGCTGTGTGTTCTTCTTGTTTGACTTAGAACTAGGAAGGGTGAGAAATCTCCAGCTAAAATAGTTTTTCCTTTTCATCAGAATGACCCATTGCCAGGACGCATCAAAGTTGATTTTGTGATTCCTAAAGAACTTCCCTTTGGAGACAAAGATACGAAATCCAAGGTGACCCTGCTGGAAGGCGACCATGTTAGGTTTAATATTTCAACAGACCGTCGTGACAAATTAGAACGAGCAACCAACATAGAAGTTCTGTCAAATACATTTCAGTTCACTAATGAAGCTAGAGAAATGGTAAGTGTTGGGTATTATTAGATACTTAGCCAGTCTTGGAGGCGGCAGGGCAATGTTACAGTCAAGTTTGTAATATGGTATTGAAAATTTCTTTGAGTTTTGACAATATTGGGCAATTACCTTATTAAGGTGATTGAGAACACAGACACTTGAGTCAATCTGGGTTTGACACTTAGCTCTGCCAGTTACCTTGAAATAGATGAGGGAAAATTGTAGAATTAAAATCTGGAGAGGATGGGCTTCCCTGGTGGTGCGGTGGTTGAGAGTCCGCCTGCCAATGCAGCGGACAGGGGTTCGTGCCCCGGTCTGGGAGAATCCCACATGCCGCAGAGCAGCTAGGCCTGTGAGCCATGGCCGCTGAGCCTGCACGTCCGGAGCCTGTGCTCCGCAATGGGAGAGGCCACAACAGTGAGAGGCCCGCATACCGCAAAAAAAAAAAAAAAAAAAAATCTGGAGAGGATGATTTCTAAGGTCTTTTGAGAGTCAGTGATTCTCTGGCCCTTAAATATGAAGACTGAGAAGATTTAAGTTCATCGTTATAGAAAGTAGATCTTTCCAGACTGTTCATAAAATGTTTAATAAACAGTAGGTTAAACAAAGTAGGTTTTGTTTCTTTCGTTTTTACAGCAGGACTTTGCAAATTCTTCTTAGTGAATATATGTCTGGAAATGATATACGCCAGAATTGTTGCTGAAACATATTTTACAAGTTCCGTTTTCGTGAATTAATTTTATCAGATGTAATTTACATTCGCTTCTGTTTGGAGTCATAACATCTACAGTATATCTCAGTGTTGTCAGTAGAACTGGATACATTCAATGAAAATTTAAGTTTCTTGAAACTTTTTAACTGTTAGGAGAACTGATCTTGTTTGACACTTGCAATGTGCTTTAAACTTTAATGCATGTTTAGTTTCTTAGATCTATTTTGCTTTACACTATGGAGTACATTGTTGAATAGCTTGCTTACCATCAGGATATAGCAAGGATTAAATGTCAGAGTATTGTTTAGGCTATATTCAAAACTGATTATAGAATAATCATTTCGGGCTTCCCTGGTGGCGCAATGGTTGAGAGTTTGCCTGCCGATGCAGGGGACACGGGTTCGTGCCCCAGTCCGGGAAGATCCCACATGCCGCGGAGCGGCTGGGCCCGTGAGCCATGGCCGCTGAGCCTGCACGTCCAGAGCCTGTGCTCCGCAACGGGAGAGGCTACAACAGTGAGAGGCCCGCGTACCGCAAAAAAAATAATAATCATCTCTGTAATATGTAAATAAGTAAGTCATTGGTGGGTTGATAATTGTATTTTAGTAAGTATTTGAGTACTTGCCATGTGCCAGTTACTCTGGATATAATGCCCTTACAGAGCTGATAATTTAGTATGAAGGAAAAAAACATGAGGATAGAACTTCATTTATTTTATTTTTCAAACCTAAATCTTAAGTCCTCCTGTGCCTAAACTCAGAAATTTTTGCAGTAGAGATTAGAGAGTTGCCTTTAGTTGACTTCTGGGGTATTTGGAGTATTGTTCTGTAGATTTTTAATTTCTGGAAGTTACAGTGTCATAAAGCTTGGGCATTATTTGGAATCCTGGTTTTTGCCACTTACTAGCTGTGTGCTTTGGGAAAATTGCTTAACCTCGTTCAACCTCAGTTTCCTCTTCTTGTAAAACAATATTTTTCACAGAATTGAAAATTAAATGGAATATGTTGTATGCATTTACTTTAAAAATGATAATTTTTCTAGTGCGTGTTGGCCAAGAAGTAGCATCTGGGGAGTCTCAGGCAATTGCTTAGAGATTAATTTACTTTATTGAAATCAATGAGTTTGTATTTAAATGGAAGAATTAAAATGTGGGTACAAAATTTGGCTGTTTAATACAGAGAATTCCTAATGAATTTAACTTGATGATACTTCCAATCTTGAATGTTGTTGTCTTGACAATCTGCACAGCCAGTAAAAGTATTGTTTTGGTTTCAGGGTGTAATTGCTGCCATGAGAGATGGTTTTGGTTTCATCAAATGTGTGGATCGTGATGCTCGTATGTTCTTCCACTTCAGTGAAATTCTGGATGGGAACCAGCTCCATATTGCAGATGAAGTAGAGTTTACTGTGGTTCCTGTGAGTAGTTTTTGAGAAAAGTATGGGAGGTTTTCTTGATCCTTCCTTTTTTGGTTTTAAAGTTACTTTTGTTTATCATTTGTAGGATATGCTCTCTGCCCAAAGAAATCATGCTATTAGGATTAAAAAACTTCCCAAGGGCACGGTTTCGTTCCACTCCCATTCAGATCATCGTTTTCTGGGCACCGTAGAAAAAGAAGCCACTTTTTCCAATCCTAAAACCACTAGCCCAAATAAAGGCAAAGAAAAGGTAAGTTTTAATCAAAATGATTTTTGCAGTTCTTTATTCCTCATCTGCTTAAAGGCAACCACTGTCCACACAATAATGGAGTATTGTCTCTTTCAGAATTCCCTGTAATATTAACAGTGAACTAACCTAAAGCGGGGTTTTTAATCTCATCAATATTAACATTTTAGGGGGCTACCCTGGTGGCACAGTGGTTGAGAGTCTGCCTGCGGATGCAGGGGACACAAGTTCGTGCCCTGGTCCGGGAGGATCCCACATGCCACGGAGCGGCTGGGCCCGTGAGCCATGGCCGCTAAGCCTGTGCGTCCAGAGCCTGTGCTCTGCAACGGGAGAGGCCACAGCAGTGGGAGGCCCGCGTACCGCAAAAAAAAAAAAAAAAAAATTAACATTTTGAGCTGGATAATTCTTTGAGTGGGAGGGGGTGGGGAGCTGTTCTTTGCATTTGGGGATGTTTAGCAGCATCCCTGGCCCACTAGAGGTCAGTATCTCTCCTTCTTCCCATGTACAACAGCCAGACATGTCTCCAGAATCTGCCAAATGTCCCCTGATCACCCCCAGTTTAGCATCACTCATCTAAAATGATAGTACTTGTCATCCAAGCAATTTAAAACTTCGAAATTTTGGTAGACTCAGTTCACACATTTGAACTCCATTTATTGAAAAATCCACTAAATCCGTAAATATGAAGCTATCCCTAAGATGACCTCTGCTCTTAAGTAAATAACAAGAATTGTATAGAAACAGGTGATTCAAACAATATTAAATATTGCTATAAAAGGTCAATGAGAAAGCTTTGGCAAAAATTCTAAACTGGCAGGATCTGGGATGGTTTCACTAAGTCATTGACATTTAATAGGTGGAGATAAATGAGGAAAGGATATTCCTCACTGAATAGAGGTACAGATGAGAAAAATGCAGGGTTTCTTTATAAAACACTAATTAGTTTGACAGGAAGATAGGGCTTCTTTTTGGGGTGGGGGTGATTGTTGATTGGCCGTGAACACTATAGAATAGGCATATTGTCAGTAAGCGTTCCCTCCTCAACATTAAAATTAGGTTAAGACTTTAAGACCAAATTAGGCAGACTGAGTCAGCCCTGGGTTAAAAGGCAAGACCATCTATTATTCATACGAAAAATATATATTTTAGAGAACCCTAGGTAGGAAATTTCTACAGCTGTACCAGTGCTTTGGCTCAGGAGTCTGTAATAATTGCAGTTGTGCTTATATTGTTTTTTTGGTGGTGGTTCTTGATTCTTTTCATTGTTTTCTGACTATTTCTTTAGGAGGCTGAGGATGGTATTATTGCTTATGATGACTGTGGGGTGAAATTGACTATTGCTTTTCAAGCCAAGGATGTGGAAGGATCTAATTCTCCTCAGATAGGAGACAAGGCAAGATAATTCTGTTTATTTGAGAGAGGGGGGAGGGTTAAAGGTTATCATCTTCATCATAAATCCTGAAAAATGGTTTCTTTAAGTTTTATCAAGTTTTGCTAACATTCTTTTGTGCTTACAAGCTTAATATATGAACATCTTCCTATTTAAAAGCAGCTTATTCAATAAGAACAGGGTCTAGCAAGCTTTTTGTTAAAGCTTTTTGAGGAGTTAGTATTTAAGCATTAGATATGTCAAAAGCAATTACCTTATATAAAATTAATAAAATTGGTAAGAAAGTTAAAACAGTCACTGAAGCATTATCAAAATAAAACCACGCCAAAGGTTTTTATATTGCTGTTCATTTTTGTCATACTTAATATGTCTGGTTTTCTAGTTGACGTCCTTTAGAGAAATTAAGAATCTATAAGGAACACACACTGGAGAGCAAAACTTGATCCTTGTGAAAAGTGGAATGAGAAGTAGAAGTGATAGTTCTGGTGAATATCTGTTCCATCAGAGTATTTATAAAAAGGATATTTAGAGTGGAAAGCAAGGTCTGGGGGAGTTGTCATTTCCACTTGGCGTGAAATGACATGATATTAATGAACATCGTTATTTTTCACAGGTTGAATTTAGTATTAGTGACAAACAGAGGCCTGGACAGCAGATTGCAACTTGTGTGCGACTCCTAGGTCGTAATTCCAACTCCAAGAGGCTCTTGGGTTATGTGGCAACTTTGAAGGATAATTTTGGATTTATTGAAACAGCCAATCATGATAAGGAAATCTTTTTCCATTACAGGTGAGGAATGCCTTTTAGGAACTTAGAGCTTAAATTCCATAATCCATTCTTTGGTTTTGGAGTCAAAAACATTAGTATTGGGTAGTTATGTATTTTTTAATCTCAAATTTCATATTGGTGAAATTTTGGCAATATATAAAGTTAACCGTCTACCTCTGTATAGAAAACATGTGGTCAAAAGACAGAGAAAGACCTGTACCTGCTTTGAACATTGGATAGGAGCCTTTCTGCTTCAGTAAAAGAATACAGTTTTGGGCTTCCCTGGTGGCGCAGTGGTTGAGAGTCCACCTGCCGATGCAGGGGACACGGGTTCGTGCCCCGGTCTGGGAAGATCCCACATGCCGCAGAGCGGCTGGGCCCGTGAGCCATGGCCGCTGAGCCTGCGCGTCCGGAGCCTGTGCTCTGCAACGCAAGAGGCCACAACAGTGAGAGGCCCGCGTACCGCAAAAAAAAAAAAAAAAAAAAATGCTTTAAAAGATATAGTTTTATGTGTTGCTACCAGAGAGTTGTATATTTCATTTGGTGTTATAGTATAGTGGTTAAGAGCATGGGCTCTTAGAACCGTACAGTTCCAGTTTGAATCCAGGCTCTGCTACTTAGTACCTGTGTAAGTTTTATCAAATGAAAATAACCTCCTGTCATCTTAGTTTCATTATCTTGAAGCTGAGGATAATGGTACCTCTTCATAGGATGTTTCTGAAGATTACATGAGTCAGTGCTTAAAACAGTATCCAGCTTAAGTAAGCACACCATGAATATTATAATAGAAGAAATAAAGGGTACTTGCTACTGTTGATGTTTGTGGTAAATACTTTTGCAAATGTCATTTCCTTTCCCTCCCCTGCAGTGAGTTCTCTGGTGATGTTGATAGCCTGGAACTGGGGGACATGGTCGAGTACAGCTTGTCCAAAGGAAAAGGCAACAAAGTCAGTGCAGAAAAAGTGAACAAAACACACTCAGGTAATGAATTGTGACTTCTGATTATTAGGCCTATGTTTTGGGTAGGGAGGGTGAGGGGTAGGGTAGGAGAGGGAGAGAAAAGCCTACTGTTCTAGATCAGTGTTTCTCCAGGTATGATCTCCAGATCCAGCAGCATCACCTGGCTACTTGTTAGAAATACAAGTTGTCTGACCCCACCCCAGACCTACCAAAACTTTGGAGATGGGCAGTCTGTTTTAACAAATCCTTCAGGTGGTTCTGATGAACACTGAAGTTTGAGAACCATTGTTCTAGATTTTCTAGGTCATTTGCTTTGAGTTTATTATCAGTTCAATATCTCTTTTTAAAAATAACCCCAAGATAATAAATCTCCATGGGATTGGGGGAGGAGGCATTCCTCTAGAAGACAATTTTGGAGAAGAATGAGTTTAAATGTGAAGAATAATGGCAACTTAAGGAAATCGTTGCTATTTAGGATCTTTGACTTTTAAAAGGCCTACAACTTACTTTTTTGGCTTTCGTGTAAACTCACCAAATAATACTTTTTCTTGGTGTTATTCTAGAGAAATGGGAGCTAAGAACATTCATTCAGTTTAATAAATGTTTTAGAAACTGGGGGTACAGCAGTGAAGAAATAAGACAGATTGGCAAAAAAGATGAGTGAAATATCGGATATAGTACGTTCAGAAAGATACTAAGATAAAATAAATTGGGGAAGTATATAAGTATTGGGGTTAGCAATACTTGTAGAGACCAAGGAAGGCCTCACTAAAAAGGTGATATTTGGTCATGTGGAAAAGGTGAGAGAGCAAGACATGTTTAAATATGTATACTTATTAAGTCTTTAAACATCTTTATTTTAATAGTAGTTTAGAAGTATTGCATTTCAGGACTGGTAGGCAACCAGCCAACCCTCTGTTAACGTTTGTTCTGTTAATGTTCGCTTTTTTTTTTGGTCCTATGCAATAGAGTTTAAATAAAATTGTTGAGGGAGAGGTATACATGCTTTTGTTTTGTAGTGAATGGCATTACTGAGGAAGCTGATCCCACCATCTACTCTGGTAAAGTCATTCGCCCCTTGAGGAGTGTCGATCCAACACAGACTGAGTACCAAGGAATGATTGAGATCATGGACGAAGGTAAGAACATCGCTATCAGATTGTTTTGAAATTTGCCTTACCTTCAGATGAGTGCGTCGAAGATTTTAAAATATGGTAGGGTGGCAGTTATTTTCAAATTCCTTAAAAACTGAATCAAGGAAAAGTGATTTTATTCCCACAATACTTGGTTTTTATTTTTTTATATCCCTTGGAAATGAGATCAGCCTGGGTTTATGTTGTGAACAAATGACTGCTGTGGAGCATATGGCTGATATGTGAGCTACTAACGGTGAGTTATACTGAAATAGACTGAGAACAAAATCTCACACTAAAAATATGCATTTAATGTTTGATAATCAGACATTCAAGTTGGCTGGGTTTAGTACAACTTTGCAGTTTTCCTCTGTTATTCACTGGTTATTTACATCAGTATTAACAAAATTTCCTAGTAACTGTTCAATTCTATAAACATTTTTGCCTCCTGTAAAAGTTTACTGTATCTGTTACTTAATAGCCAGGGTTCCATGGGGATCCTACTACTTTTCTCTAGGTCAAGGCCCCCTACATTTTCATTTCCTGCCTTTTTCTCCCCATCTTTGACAACTCCCTGAGTCCTGGTGTCATCCCTTACCCCAAACAATTAACGCCAGAAAGACCAACTTTGTGCATAAAATAAGTTTGCAGTAGAAGTGTTAGTAGGGAACACTGGATGATTAATACAGCAGAATTACCATAATGATGGGGTTGATGAGAGGATTTGAAATTCTAACCAAAGACGATAGCTTGGCTCACAAAGGGAATAAATCTTGTGTCATCTAGGAGTCATAGGAGAACATAAAGTGGGGAAGAGAAGGTCATTTGAGAGAAGGAAGTGAGCCTGATGAACATGTTCCTTTACTACATGAGGTTCTTAGAAATTCCTGTTTTTAATAGAATCAGTACCCTAATACACACATCTCCAAATATGAATTGACTTGGTGGCAAGTCAGTCTTAAACTAATGCCATGGTGACACCATATCCTTAAAAGGGCCACGAGGGTATGGGCAACTAACTTAAACTCGTGAGGTAATATCAAAGTGCCCCATTTCCTCCTCTGTATCATGCACCCTTTTATTTACTTTTGCATTCCCACCCCCCAATCCACTTAATTCTTCAACACTGGCTATTTGATAGTCTAAAAGCAAGGTTTTGTGGAAAAGGAAACTTCCCTGAAATCTCTAAGCCTAGAGTTTTCTGCGACTAGAAAGGTCACTTTTCCCCACTTGGTGGTGAGAACAGCTCTTTTATTTAGGAATACAGCTAACCCAGTATAAGACCATGGGTTTTAGAGCCAGACAGACCTAGATATGAATACCAGCTCTTCCACTTCTAGCTATACAACCTAAGTCAAATTAATTAAGTCTTTACTAGCTTAGTTTCTTCGGGTTTTTTTTTTTTTTTTTGGTTTTTTTTTTTTTTAATTTATCTTATTTTTGGCTGCTTCGGGTCTTCATTGTTGCACGCGGGCTTTCTCTAGAGGAGGCAAGCGGGGGCTACTCTTCATTCGGTGCACGAGCTTCTCATAGTGGTGGCTTCTCTTTGAGGAGCATGGGCTCTAGGCACGTGGGCTTCAGTAGTTGCGGCTCACGGGCTCTAGAGCGCAGGCTCAGTAGTTGTGGCACATGGGCTTAGTTGTTCCATGGCATGTGGAATCTTCCCGGACCAGGGCTTGAACTCGTGTCCCCTGCATTGGCAGGTGGATTCTTAACCACTGTGCCACCAGGGAAGCCGCAGTTTCTTCATTTTTAAAATGAGGATAATATCTTCAACCTCAGAATATTCTATAAAGATTAAATATGCATCAGTATAAGTGTTTAATAAATAGTGGTTACTGCTAGTACCACTAAGTCAGACTAGCTGTCTTTAGTATTTCTGCATGACTTGATCTATTGGAAATCTCAAAGTTTTTAGTTCCCGTAACTTTGAGAAGAAAATCTTCACTTACCCCCTATAATCATCAAGAGAACGGTTAAAAGCATTCCCAGTTTTGAAGCTTCGTCTTCCATCTAACGTTTTTCCCCTCTTTTCCACCTTCGTTGATTCAGTGAATTCACCATCCAGGGGAACTGATAGGCATCTGGATGGACTCTTTGGCCTGGTTTTTATCCATAGCCTGCACTGACCTCCAGCCAACTTTTTACTCTGGGGCAGAGCTCAGCAAATAAGATAGCTTGTTTTTATAAATAAAGTTTTGTTGAAACACAACCAAGACTGTTTACATACTGTCTTTGATTGCTTTCTCACTGCAACAGCAAAGTTGAGTCATCATGACAGAGACAGGATCCTACAAGACTAAAATATTTACTATCTAGCCCTTTAAGAAAAAGTGTGATGGGCCCTGATCTAGAAGAAAGGTAACTGTAGGTTTGAGGGAGCCACAATCAGAACAAAGAAAGGAAGTGGAATGCCAAGAAATGATTTATCTATTTTGCATTTTTGCCTATGCCTGGCTTGTTTAATGCCCAGTCGGGTATGGATCAGAAATGTTTTTGACTGGCTCATATTGTGAACTTGGGAAGAAGATAATCCAGTGGATCATGTTAGCAACCCATAGAGCTTTAAAAGCTGAAAGGTAATGAGATTGTGAGTGCTAGTGTTATTTTTTTTTTTCCCCATAAATGTGGTTTAAAACTGTTCATTAGCTAGTAAGGTGATAATGAGTTACAAGTTCTCATTTGTTTTTGTGGTAGTATTTAGCTTTCAGGATTTTATTGGAGCTTTAAAGTAGAATTTCTTAGGTATAAAAAAAATCTTCCTAGTGAATATATTTTTAGCAAATTAAAAATTCATTAGGACCATCAGCAGAGGGCTGTCGTGAAATATTAGCTTTTAGACTTTGTACCTGTTTCTCCTTACAGGGGATATGAAAGGTGAGGTCTATCCATTTGGCATAGTTGGGATGGCCAACAAAGGGGATTGCCTACAGAAAGGGGAGAGCGTCAAGTTCCAGTTGTGTGTCTTGGGCCAAAATGCACAGACTATGGCCTACAACATCACACCCCTGCGTAGGGCCACAGTGGAGTGTGTGAAAGATCAGGTAAGTGGTTATATCTCTTGATCTGAATTTGATCCTTTTATGAGTTGGTAACCAAATAGTAACCAAAACCTTGAAACTTTTTCAGCCCAGGGGGAACCATCAACATTCATTTGGTTTTTATTTCCACTTTACCCCCCTTTTCAGTGATTTGAAGTAGCTTATTAAAAACACAGAGAAAACCACATGGAAAGAAAAAAACGGCAATAGTAGCAAAAGGAAAGTAAGAATAGTATTAATAGCTAACACAATGGGGAAAATAAGTTTGGAGTGAGATTTCCAGGATAGAAAGACTATAATGTTTTTCATACTTGAGCTTAGAGCTTCTTTTACAGACCACACAAAGAAAGAAACCATGTGTAGAAGTGTTCATAAAATAAGCTTCGGGCAAACAAAACTATTCCTGGTACTTAAATCTCAAGGAAATCTCTCTGAGTCCTCAGAGAGGACATTTTTTGGTATCAGTACAGTGACTAACATTTTGTATGGCTGTTTCTAATAATACCATAACCCAGCTTAATAATTTTGGAAGGTATCAAAACAATGCATATGTTCAAGTAACAGCTTCCTAATGATTTTGCTTAATTCAAAAGCGTAGTTCATACAATATATGTAGGCACAAGGTAACCTTTCTTTGTTTCTCAGGCTATGATAGAGTGGATGGCAGTGGTTTCAAAGATACATTTCTTCCCTGACAAGTTTTGCAGACCCATATGCTGTTGTTATAGCCCAGGCAGCGAGCATCAGCACTGACGCCACATTTTATAAACCCCACTAGCTAGGGGCAAATTGTGCTTCATTCAAAGTGAGTTTCTTTTCCCTGCTGTGTGGTATGTCTTTTTTATGCTGTCTTTTTAAAATTTCAGTTTGGCTTCATTAACTATGAAGTAGGAGATAGCAAGAAGCTCTTTTTCCATGTGAAAGAAGTTCAGGATGGCATTGAGCTACAGGCAGGAGATGAGGTGGAATTCTCAGTGATTTTTAATCAGCGCACTGGCAAGTGCAGTGCTTGTAATGTTTGGCGAGTCTGGTGAGTTCTTTGTTGTTGTTGATTAATAACCTCCCTGGACTGTCTCTTTCGTAATCTCTGCTTTATCATATTTTTTCACTTTTCCATCACTGCTTCTTTTTTAATCCTCTTCTGCCACTTTCTGGTTATTTCTTCATTGTCTAAATTTTGTAGTTTAGCATTTCTGGCACTATGTTTTTGTTTTGTTTTAATAACAAAATAGCATGAGAGGAGCTGGAAGTCTCTGGAAATATTTCTTCATATTTTCCTTTTCTAATGTTTTTCCATACCTGCTACATTGTTTTATGGGTCTGTGGAACTGGTTTTCTGGTTGCAGACCGGTCTCGGGATGACCCTCACCCAAATGATTCTTCCAGCTCCTAAGCAGTAATAAACATTGAGTTCAGAATAAAAACATAAACTTGTCTGCCCTGTCTTGCTAGTTAGTTAGTTGGCTAGGTGAGGCAAGAGTCTTCCCTCATTAAAACTGAGTCATTTGGGTAGTTAGGTAGAAGACACACTACTCTGCATGTACTTTTCTTCCCATCAAGTGTTGCTGCTTCTCACCTATTGACTTTGTTACAGCGAGGGCCCCAAGGCTGTTGCAGCTCCACGACCTGATAGGTTGGTCAATCGCTTGAAGAACATCACCCTGGATGATGCCAGTGCTCCTCGCCTAATGGTTCTTCGTCAGCCAAGGGGACCAGATAACTCAATGGTATGAGGGCATACAAGGTTTTGGGCGGATGGGGGCAACTGATAGACCAGCATACTACTTGAGAACCTATTTTAGCAGAACTCAAAGAGCTTACTTTTTACCAAGGTGCTTCAGTATTGCTGTCATAACTAGTTAGCATCCCTGCACATTGGTTCAGCCCCTAACGTAATGGTTGCTTACAGTAAGAGGAACATTTCTTGGTGTTCCTGATACTTTGAACATAGTTTAGGAAGGCTTACTATAGATTTCCTCCTCTGCAAAAGAATTGGTGGTGATTGAGAGTAATGCTTTGGTAGTCCCTTTTGGAATTGTGAATGTACAATGATTGTCATACACCCAGGTCATTAACTGCAATTTTATTTCCTCACAGGGATTTGGTGCCGAAAGAAAGATCCGTCAAGCTGGTGTCATTGACTAACCACATCCACAAAGCACATCATTAATCCACTATGATCAAGTTGGGGGGATTCTGGTGAAGGGTTCTGAATATCTCCCTCTTCATCCCTCCCAAAATCTGGAATACTTATTCTATTGAGCTGTTACACCAGTTTTAACACCTTCCTCGTGTTATGTTTAAAAAAATAAATAAATTTAAGAAAACCATTTTAAAATTATGCACAGTTGCAGCCTGGAAAACTTAAGGTGGCGCCTTATAGAATCAATTTTAGGAGCTTTATTTGGTGCATTTAACGCAACTGGTAATTGCAAAATCCACTTCTGCCTGTGTAAGTGAAAAATATAGACTGTTACCTTGTTGGCCCTATGAAATTCTGCACTTGATACTTAGTATATATACTCTACCTTCATTACTTTTGGCAAGATGTTCTGCCTTAGCACTCAGTTGCATTCTTTTTCCTTTTCTTTTCTGTTCATTATGCTTTAATTCTGAGGACCATATGATGGTAGAATATATTAAAAATTACAAAAATTTGTATAGGCAAACCAGTTCTTTAAGTTGATGGCCAAATGTTAAAATGTTATTTTTCATACCATTTATAATCTTATCACAGTCCACTTAATGAAGTTTGGTTAGATTTCAGTGAAAATTATCTTCCAGGGTAGTTCCCCCCCGCCCCCCCCGCCCCGGATGGGGGTTGTAACTTTACCACAATTAGTATATATGGTGCAGAATTTCATGCAAATGAGGTGTGCCAGCAGTGTGATAATTTAAACGTATTTAAAGAAAAACAAAAGGATGAATGCACAAACTTGCTGCTGCTTAGATCACTGCAGCTTCTAGGACCCAGTTTCTTTTACTGATTTCAAAACAAAACAAAAACAAACAAAAAATAATAAAAAAGTTGTGCCTGAAATGAATCTTGTTTTTTTTATAAATAGCCGCCTGGTTCCTGTGTCCTGTAAAAAGTACAGGCACTTGACCCTTGGTGTAGCTTCTGTTCGGCTTTATATCATGGGAAAGGATTGGTCTGATTTCTTGGCCCTCAACTTGAATTGGCCACGTACAGGGTCCCTGGCCAGTGGACTGAAGGCTTTGTCTAAGATGACAAGGGTCAGCTCAGGGGATGTGGGGGAGGGTGTTTTATCTTCCCCGTTGTCGTTTGAGGTTTTGATCTTCTCTGGGTAAAGAGGCCATTTATCTTTGTAAACACGTTAACACTTTTGCTTTCTCCAGTTTTCTGTTAATGGCGAAAGAATGGAAGCGAATAAAGTTTTACTGATTTTTGAGACACTAGCACCTAGCGCTTTCATTATTAAAACGTCCTGTATGGGAGGGGCGGGTCTGGGTGCGGCCTGCCGCGTGACTCCTGGGTCGGAGGCCCACGTGGCCGGGGCGGGGACTCCGGCGCCTGGGGCGCCGACTGATTGCGTAGCGGGCGGGGCCGGAAGTGCCGCTCCCTGGTGGGGGCTGTTCATGGCGGTTCCGGGGTCTCCAACAATTTTCCCGGTTGTGGTCCAAATCTGTCCGAAGCGGAGGCAGTGGAGCTTGAGGTAAGGCTCTGGCGTGTGTAGCGTTCGACTCTGGAGCATGCTGACGACTCCTTGTTGCCAGGAATCGAGCGGAATCTACGAGCTGGAGACAAAGGCCCTGGGCGGGGGGTCCTTCGTTTTGAGCCCTACGGGGGAGCTCTTTGGAGACAGGCGGGATAGAGAGAAGGGGAGACGGTCTGGAGGCCGCCCCCCAGAGCTCAGAAGATTTAAAGGAGTAGGAAGGGGGGTTTTCTTTACCTTAGGCTGAGGGCGGGGCCCAAGGGCTACTGAAAAATAGACGAGGGTGGGGGTAGCTAGAAGACTAGTCCAGAATTCTGAGATCCACAGTAACCTGCAAGTGTTTTTGCACTCCTGAATCACTTTGAGAACCAAGTGGCGATGAACGTGTACGGAACCAATACATTTCAGACTCTGGTTTTAGTTACTGTTGATTACAGAAAGCTTTGAAGTACTGTAGATGTGGTTCGACAGTTAACCCTAATTGCTGCTTTCCCACAGGTTCTTGCTGGTGTGAAATGACTGAGTACAAACTGGTGGTGGTTGGAGCAGGTGGTGTTGGGAAAAGCGCACTGACAATCCAGCTGATCCAGAACCACTTTGTAGATGAATATGATCCCACCATAGAGGTGAGGCCCAGAGGCAGTCCGCTGACCATACCTCTCTCTTTCGGTTTACTCTTAACCCATTCCCTTTCCCATACCTTTCACCTATTCCTTAGCTAAAGGAATAATCAGGAGAGAAAATAAAAGTTATTTGGGGCACTGTGTTCAGTAATACAGTAAGTAAAGCTTTACCTGTTTTTGGAGAAGAGTTCACTTTTATTAGCTACTGATGATTTTCTAAAAAGTTTACCGTTTTTAACAGTTTTGAAAACGGTTACAAACTCAGTGTTGGACTCATTTAGTTTCTCCACATATGACAGCTCCGTTAAAAAGAAACACAGGTCATAGAATACCTGAATGATAGCAGGATGGAGATGAAGGATTCAGAGATCTGAGTGTTTCTTAGCCACTTGAAGCAGCTGAGACTGTGGGTTGGGGAAGAAAGAGCATGAGATTTTGAGTCACTGTGCCTAGGAATACAGTCCCTGTTTGCAGTTAGTTATATGATAGTGAGCAAATCACTTTTCTCATCTATTAAATTACCATAAACCTGTCTTGCCTGACACCCAGGGGATGTTGTGAAAAATCAAATATGTTAAATTTTTGTGGATGCTAACACACTGTGTAATTATCACTTATTTAAAGTTTCTGTTGTTTTTGTGGGAGTTCATGTTATAGATTGGCTTCAGTAAATGTCATCTAAAGTCCTTTAAGTAAAGAGTTTGTAATCTTATTCCGTTTAGAAACGTCTAACTCTAGAGATTATTTTAATCCACATGCTGGTCTTCGTACCACCCAGCCATTGAGTGTTTAATGCAAGCTAACTCTAATATAGCCATTATTAAAAATTAGTCATTAGTCCTTGGCAAAGTTTTATTTTAGGCTTACCAGCTTTAGTATTAATGGTTAGAACATTTTGTTATTTTTCAGAGTTTTATTTGTTTGTGAGGTAATATACATAAGGTATATAAATCTTACATCTATAGCTCAGTGGCTTTAAATTTGTGTACACTTATGTAACCGCCGCATAGATAAAAATATAGACTATTTCCAATGCCCAAGAGAGTTCTTTCATGCCCCTTTCTAGTCAGTAAACCCCCCTATCCTGCCAGGAAATGACCACTTCTCTGACTTCTATTATCATAAATTAGTTTGACTAAAACCTATCTTTATCATTTTAATTTTGCTTATTTCCTCAGAACACTCATACATTTGACCCTATTTCATGCTTTAAGGAAATTTGGACAATGTGAATTCTATGTTAATTTGAAAGTATATTACAGTCCCGCAATGGCGTGAGTTACAGAGGCGCTGTTCAATGCAAATGGGCTGGCAAACTATGTTACATACTGTTTCTGGAGCCAGATCTTTACTAAGTGTGATGAGGTTATTTTCTTTGAACTGAATTCCCAGAACATAAATATTAAAATACAAGTAAAATTTTTGCCTTAGAGTCAAATTGAAATTTTTTTTTTAATATGATCTATGCATGTCTGTCTTCCCAAGGAATTAATTAACTATACCACGTTTGGAACCTTTAGGAATTTGATTCAGGAATATTCCCCAGAGGTACAGTCTGTCATGATGAGAAAAATATTTTGATATTATAACCTTGTCTGAAATAAAAGGTATTTGTGTATTTAATCATAAACACAAAAGATAGTGCATCCTGGACCAAGTTATAATTGGTGGAGGTATGTTTAGAATTGTAAATGGACAATAAACAACTCAAAGAAGAAGTACAGTTCATACTTCAGTGAACGTAATCTCTAGTCTAAGTGCGGTCGAACTGTCTTTTCAATTACCATGTTTTCTTCATCTTTTCCGGGAACAGAGTGACCACATTTTCCTTTCTATAGGCATATAGCATTTGGGGCTTTTTTCCTAGGGTGACATTAAGTACTTTCTGTTTGTGATTATATATCAGCAGTTTGAGGGACAAACCAAAGAGACAGAATTGGACTTGGTTAGGAGCTTATTTAACCTTAGCAATAGCATTGCATTCCCTGTGATTTTTAATAAAAATGGAATATCCCTCTCTCCCTGCCCCCCTCCCCACCCCAGGATTCTTACCGAAAACAGGTGGTTATAGATGGTGAAACCTGTCTGTTGGACATACTGGATACAGCTGGACAAGAGGAGTACAGTGCCATGAGAGACCAATACATGAGGACAGGCGAAGGCTTCCTTTGTGTATTTGCCATCAATAATAGCAAATCATTTGCAGATATTAACCTCTACAGGTACTAGGAGCATTGTTTTTTCTGAAAGGATGATCTTTAAGTGTGTTCTGAAGTTTTGGGGTGAGAATGAGGATACCACACTAGGGAAGATGCAATTTTTTCATTATGAAAAGAATTGCTTTTAGGTTGTGACATTGAGAATCTGGGGTTATTACTGAAAGTTAATACTGAAGTTTATTTTATATAAGCTACTATGTCTAGAATGCCTGATAATACATAAATGAAGCTTGCTTGCTAATGGGAGTGATTCAGAGCTAGAGGTGTTATGAGAGATCACAGAGAGGAAAACACCTCTGAGAAACATTCTTCAGTAAGTAATAGAGAAGATAGTGGGAAGAAACAAATGGGGGGAGGGGGGTTAGATAAAGATGAAAGCAAGGCAAAGGGGGGTTAGATAAAGATGGTCTTTCTCCACAGAACCTTAAAGTTTCAAAGCTCAGTTGGACCATAAAAGTTCTAATACAACATTCTTATTTTACAGAAACAAAGTTCAGAAGGTGGTTTGTTAGGTTTTCATAGTCATGATTATTATTCATAGCAGAGCCAGGACCAAAAACCCAGGGCTCCTTTTTCTTAGCTCTGTGTTCTTTAGGCAGAATAATATAATGGTTAAGAATACAGACTCTGCCTGGGTTGAAACTTGGCTCCATCATCTCTTAGCCATGGAACTTTGGGGCAAACTACTAAATCGCTGGGCCTCAGTTTCCTTATCTATAATGTGGAGATGGTAGTACCTACCAAGAGTTGCTCTGAAAATTAAACGAGTTAATAAATATGTGAATCACTCAGAGCCGTGTTTAGCACAGAGTAAATGCTACACAAGCGTTCTGCCTGTAGCCTGAGTCTTGGCGTATGCTCCATCCATGTGACGATGTCGACTCTCAGAAACAAACTAGTCTAAAACTGGTTTTCTTCCCCTAAACCTGCTCTACTTTCCATTTTCTCTCTGCAGTTAATAGCAGCACTTAATAAAAAGCTTAGCACTTGGCAAGCACCAAAAAACTATTTGCTGAATTTCTAGAAATCGTTTTTCTCCTTAGGTTGTCTTATATTATCCCTTCACATAGGTTACTGCCATCACACCAAAGCTCAGTTCTGCAGATAGCCAGTGAAATGCATTTCAAGTACATGACTTTGTATGTAATCCCAGGGTAGAGTCTAGAGCAGTGCTGTGCAGTATGGTAGCCACAAACCATATGTGGTTTAAATTTAAATTCGTTAAAATTGGGCTTCCCCGGTGGTGCAGTGGTTGAGAGTCTGCCTCCCAGTGCAGGGGACATGGGTTCAAGCCCTGATCCGGGAAGATCCCACAGGCCGTGGAGCAGCTAAACCTGTGTGCCACAACTACTGAGCCTGTGTGCCACAACTACTGAAGCCCGTGCACCCAGAGCCTGTGCTCCACAACAAGAGAAGCCACTGCAATGAGAAGCCTGCACAGCACAACAAAGAGTAGCCCCTGCTCGCCACAGCAACAAAGAGAAAAGCCTGCGCACAGCAACAAAGACCCAACACAGCCAAAAATAAATAAATTTATTTTAAAATAAATAAATTCATTTTAAAATAAATAAATAAATTCATTAAAATTAAACAACTTAAAAATCAGTTCGTCGGCCCCATTAGCAACTGACTTTTCAAGTGTTCAGTAGCTTCATATGACTAGCATATATAGTTGGACAGTGCAGCTAGAGAACATTTCCATCATCATAATAATTCCTATTGGACAGGGTTGATCAAGAGAATCTGGAACAGTAGTTTCCAAACTGCTGTGTGGTATGTCTTACTTGTCATTGAAGAGAGAACTGTCAGTTGGGAGTTCAAATCCTTTAGTCCCCTGTTAATAAGAGCAGTTCTGGTGTTTCCTATTTTATATCTTGGACTTACAGCTATAATTTGTTTGA